CCCAAACCCCAAACCCAAAGCCCTGCTGTGTGGGGCTTCCCTCCTCGAGCTGCGGGGCACGCTGGCTCAGAGCCTGGCGCACCTCGGAGCCCAACTGGTCCTCCACCTGCGGCTTTGGGCTTTGGAGTTAGGGCTTTGGGGATGTTTTGGGGGGGCTTGAGGTTTGAGTTTAGGGTTTAGGGTTTAGGGTTTAGGGCTTAGGGCTTAGGGTTTAGGGCCTAGGGTTTTGGGCTTTGGGGCTTCGGGTTTAAGGTCCAGGGTCTTGAGGCTTGGGGTTTAAGGAGTTATAGTATACTATAAGTACCTATAGGTCTATAGGTATCATGGGGTCATAAGGGGATACTATTGCTGGGTTGTTATGGCTTTGGAATTTAGGGGCTTAGTGTTTAGGGTTTAGTTTGGCTTTAGGGTTTAGGGGGGGGGCCTTAATAATCAGAATAGGGTTTGGGCTCCTCTACAGTATAAATGTAATAACGAACCCCCAAAATAATATATAGGTGGTTATCTAGGCTTCAAAATTAGGCTTGGGGTCCACGGTTCCAGGTCTGGGTTTTAAGGGGTTCGGGATTCGGGTTGGAAGTTTCGGGGATAGGCTTCAAGGATGATTGTTTGGGGCGTTGGGGGTCTGTTGGGTTCGGGGCTTCTGACGATTATGGTGCTCTATTTGTATGTCCCGATCATGACCTATGCGAGGGTCGCCTCTGCTTCTGAAACTCCTCTGTGTGGTGCAGTCTTTGGGGGGCTGGGGGGATTGTTTTGCATGCGATAAGGGTGTTATAGGGGCTTCAAAAAGCATCTTACCAAGCTTTGTAGGGATGACAGGTGAAGGGGCGTTTGAGTTTGGTTTGGGTAGACGTAATACATTGGTTCCGGGGACTCCGGGGTCACCCTGCGGCTTTTTTGGGAATATGGGGACTCCTGGTTGCGGGGTTCAGGGTTGGGAATTTAAGGTCTAACGTAGCGGCCTTCATAATTGAATCGGGCTTTAGGGTAGGTTATATTACAATTATATTAAGGAGCCCCCAAAATAATAGGTGTAATTATTGAGGGCCTTGTATTAGGTGTAGGGTTCGAGCCTTCGGGACTACGGCCGTAGGGGTAAAGGTTGCTGTTGCAGTTGCTTGCCAGGACTTGCTCATTAAGCACCGTTTTAGGTCCTGCGCCTGGGGCATTATGTCAACCATACAGTATATAGAGGCCTGATTCATTTTACCAGGGTTTAGATCATTGTCCCCTCTATTTTTGCGGCACCCAAGAACTCGCTGAAGCCTTGTACGGAATTCATGCGATTTCTTGTCGTATAAGCCGTATAAGCCCTTACAAAAGAACCCCAACGTACGGGCCTAAATAATTAGAAAAGGGTCTTGGTATATACTATGACTATGAGTACAGTAAGGAACCCCCAAACTACAATAGGTAATCAATCTAGGCCCCTACATTATCAACCCAATAAACCCTAAACCCTAAACCCCAAAAGAACCCTAAACTCTAAACCCTAAACCCTAAACCTCAAAAGAACCCTAAACCCTGAAACCAATAAGCCCGCCAAAAGGGAACCTCAAGGAGAAGGCTGCGCCCTGCGGAGTTTGCGCGGATGCGCCGCGCCGCGGACAAGGAGGCGAGCAGTGCGAAGCACAGCCTCCGGGGGCTTTGGGCGAGGGATAAGGGCTTTGGGGTTTTTTGGGATCTTGATGTTATGGGTTTAAGGTTTAGGTTTTAGGGTTCAGGCGTTAGGGTTGAAGGTTTAGGGTTTAAGGTTTAGGGTTTAGGGTTTGGGGGGCTTTTAGGCTTTAGGGCTCAGGATTTCTTGGGTTCATGGATTAGGCTGCGTTTGCTTCTTCAGGGCTCCTTCTTCTGGCTGGAAGGGTGGCTCAGAGCTGTCCCAGGGCTTCGCATTTAGGTTTCGGGATCACCCTAAACCCCTAAACCGTTTAGGGTTTAGGGGTCCCTGGGAGACTGGATCAGAGCTTATAGAGATTCATCGTCGAATCTTGCAGGAGTCGACCCGATACCCGATACCCTAAACCCTACCTTGAGGACCCAAAACCTACTTTTTTGTAGGGTCCCTATAAATCCCATATTGGGGTTTATAATAAGAACCTACAAAAAAGTGGGCTTTGGGTTCTTAAGGTAGACCCGAAACCCTAGACCCAAAACCCGGGTCTTGAAAGCGCGTCATAGGTGGCCAGGGCTTCGGATGTACGGAATGATATAGGGGCCTTAATGATTAGAAAGGGTTTTGGGGGTATACTGTGCTACACTTATAATAAGGAACCCCCAAGATAATATTGGTAATTATCTAGGCTTCTATTT